AGATCTTATGACCTGAATTTTACAGCCACTTTGGTTCTCGACCCAAGCTTTAAATTTCCAAAAAACTCCTGCCACTTCAGACTTGAATTTCAAGAAATAAATCCAACACATTCTACTAAAATCATCAATAAAGAGAATATAATATTTACTTCCCTTTAAAGATAATTCAGGTATAGCCCCTCCAATATCCGTATGTATTTGTTGTAGCTTTGTTCTAGCCCTGCTTGTTGAATTCGAAAACGGGAGTATAGTTTGCTTTCCAAATCTGCATGCTTTACAACTTATTAAGTAATCATCCAGAGGAGGAATTCCTCTTGCAAGATTCTTTCTCCTCATATACAATAGAGCAGCGTGGTTGAAATGTCCCATCCTCTTATGCCAAAGCTCAGTTTTAGTAACCGAACTCATCATAGCAGCCTACTCTATCTCCATCATATTTAAAGAGAAGTTTTTTTCCCTTCATATTGACCTTGAACATGTCAGACCCACTTGAATCTTTTATCGAACACATCCTGTCTTCAAACACAACTTTGTAGCCTTTTTCAAGTAGCTGACCCACACTTAACAGGTTCTAATTAATTTCAGGAACATAAGAAACATATTGAATTAACTTAGTACCAAGACTACTTTCAATGGCAATAGTACATTTACCTTTGACAACAAAGAAATCTCAATTTCCAATTCTGCTTTTGACACAACCGCCTTATTAAGCTCTTTGAAAAGCTCAATATCATGTGTCATATGATTGGTGCAACCACTATCAATCAGCCAACTTTCATTTGCAATACTAGTTGCAAAACAAGAAGCAAAAAATAGTTAATCCTCTTTTTGCTCAACAACCTGAGCCTCACTTTGCCGATATTGCTCTTTGTACTTGCATATCTTTGCAATGTGTCCCAAGAGTTTACACTTGTTGTATCTAACATCTGGCCTCCTCCAATATTTGTGAGGTGGGTGACCCTTCTTTCCACAGTGTTGACATGATGGATAGTCTTGCTTATCACTTCTTTCTCACTTGCTGTAAGCTCTGATACCAATCTATAGTAAAAACAAAAAGAGATGAAAGACATTAAAACATAAAACATGCTCAAATACATCACAAATAACTAATAAGCTGAAGCTTCTACCCATGTTTCCATGTACTGCCACTAACATAAAACATGGCAACTACTTAGCTAAAAAAATAACAACTAAACTTGATTAAGTATAATGCATAACAAACTCCTAAAAACTAGGATAAGTTGCAGCCACTAGAGACGTTTCCAACAGAGACAATCAATACCTACTAAATTCTCCATCGCCCCATTCATTTTGAACATCGTATAAAAGATCCCAGATTCTGCTCAATATATAAATCTCAAGAAGCTTCATCCTCCCATCACAAAATCAAAAACAAATTAACCTTTTTCCTTTGGATTCATTCGCTCTGATATATTAGCACGTGGAAATGATTTTCAGTAGGACGAAGAGAAAACCCAGAAATAGAGATAAAAAAGTGCATCATAAGGAACTTGAGATCCCAGAGCATTTCATTTGCCAAATAACTCTTGATCTTATGAAGGATCAGGTGACAATAACTTTTGGGATGATTTACGATCGAGAAATGACTTGAAGATGGGCATTTCACCTGCCCTATTTTGAAGTCTTTACAAGTTTCGATCAGATACCCCATTAATTTTCTCAGGAAAATGATCCAAGAGTGGTGCACCGAGAATCCCTATAAACTCAATCGAGGTCTTTGAGGTTTTATTTTTTAGTATCGATTCAAAGAGATGATTGAACTGATATGACTATCTGAATTACGTTCATAAAATCAAAAAATGAGGTCTCGAAAGCCAACAAAAAAGGTTATGCATTATCGCAAATGAAGCTGTCGATGTCCTCGTCGATGCGTTCAACGCATTCACAAACGACTAATTAGATAATAATGCCAATGTATTGGAGGAATATTGTATGTAATGAACTGGATGTTTCCACTTGCTCGAGAGGCTCAATTGTTCCTTAGATCAAAACCTTCTTTGCGTTGCATGGTCTGGTTTTTGAAACGAAACGACGTTTTAGCGAAGCAGAAATCCAATAACATCATTAAAGAGTTTATTTCGTGACCAGCTATACAAAGAACACTTGGTCGCTATTGATGGAGGCAGTGGAATCATGTTCAAGTTCATTAAAGACCCAATTTCTCCTTCGGTCACGAAAGCTTCTCTAATGGTGATTTACCACACGATTTCATCATCAAACGAGAAAACAAAGGTTGGATTTATCAAAATGGGTCTCGTTTCTTTACTGGTTGAATCCATAATCGAATTCGAAAAGAGCTATTGTGAGAGGGCTTTAGGTGTTATGGGCAAATTCTGCAAGACCAAACAGTGGATGGAATTTGCTTACGACGACGCTCCGATAATATCATTTCTCATCAAGAAGATATTGTGTGTTTCAGAACTAGCAATCAAGTACTCTGTTTCGGCCATATGAAAGCTAAGCAATTATGAAGAAGAAGATATTGTGTGTTTCAGAACTAGCAACCAAGTACTCTGTTTTGGCCATATGAAAGCTAAGCAAATATGAAGAAAAAGCGTTGATGGAAGCTCTTCAAGTTGGTGCGTTTCAAAATCTTTTGTTGATACAAGTTGGGTGCAACATTGAAATCAAAGAGAAAGCAACTGAGCTTTTGAAGTTGTTGAATCCTTACAGAGCTGGATTAGAGTGTATTGATTCTTTGGATTTCAAGAACATCAAAAGATCTTTTTGAATTTTTCTTCTTATTTATTGCTAGAAATTATTTATTCTTTGAAACCTAATTTTCTTAAAGCGATGGAGGTTTCCAATGAATGGCAGAGATTATCTCTGGGTAATGAACCTAGGACGATAGAGATGGCGGGGAAAGCTAAATAGTCAAACCCGATCAAAATTTTTATCTTGTGTGGCAAAAACTGTGCAGGTCAGTTGGTTAACATGGCAAGTAAACATTTTGTTACCAACGTTAACAGTGAGTGATCGATTTGTTATAAATAGATAATGTTAATGATTGATTTATTACTTTTAAAATTTTAGTGGAAAAAAAAAATTTACTCAAATTTCAATGACCATTTGTGTAGTTTATAATCCATCATACTATTTCGAATCTAAAAGCATAAATACAACATTAAATGATTTTTAATATGCAACATTAAATTATTTTTAAATTATGATGATTCTTCTACGCTTGATGGGTAGCGATGAGCACAACTAACGATGAGCACTATTAATTTAATTTCAAAAGATTTAAATTCGAAAAGACTTAACGTATAATTATAAATTATTTAAAAATTTAAAGATAAATATTTAAAATAAAGGGTAAATTATACCAATGATCACCCAACTATTGTCCCTTTTCTTTTTGACCAATATTTTTTGAAATTTTGTCAATCAGATCACTCGACTATTTAAATACATTTAATTAAGCCACTTCCAGTTAATATTTAACGGAGAAACTGATGTGACAGTTAAAATATTTGGTATAATTACACATTTGGTTACTATTACTTATATATTCTATCAATTTGGTCCTAATTTTAATAAATTAATATAAACTTAACCTTTAAATCAAATTGTGACATATACAATGACCCAAAATTCAACTTTTTATTTTAATTTTAAAAGCTACAACATATTTTATCTTTATAACAAGACAAAATTTATAACGTGAAATTTATGATATTAAACCTTTTTCTAAAAAATGAATACTCAAGCAATAATTTATGATATTAAATTTAAAGCAAACTAAATTTATCGCCCTTTTAATATAGGTCAATCTCTTGTGCAAAACTTTCCATGCTAAGTCCATCGAGAATCTTATCAGTATAAAATTTTATGATATGAGATAAATTTTTAAAATTTTAAAGGAATACTGTGTCAAACGTGAAAGAGATATATGTCACCTTTTTCTATTAGAAATTTACAGGATAAAAATTTCTTAGTTTTATAGGTTAGACTATATCACATTTTTTAGTAGAATATCATTTACAAATAGTAGTAGGATAAAAATTTTGTTCAGCGAACTTTATATGCATGAGCTAGTCAACTATATTTTCTTTAAAACCAAAAGAGGTTACGGTGCCATTGACAAGATGCTTCTTAGAACCATAAATGAAATTTCTAGTAAAAATTTTGTTTTGTTATAAATATAGAATATGTCGTAACTTTTAAAATCATTTAAAAATTAAAGATTCGAGGGTTAAGTTTATTTTAATTTATTAAAATTAGGACCAAATTGATAGAATATATAAGTAACAGTGACCAAATGTGTTATTATACCAAATATTTTAACTGTCACATCAGCTTCTCCGATAAATATTAACGACAAGTGGCTTAATTGAATGCATTTAAATAGTTGAGTGACTTGATTGACAAAATTTCAAAAAATAACGGTCAAAATGAAAAGTGGTAATAGTTAGGTGGTTAGTGGTATATTTTACCATTTATTTTAAATAATTTATCTTTAAATTTTTTACTAATTTATAATTATACGTTGAACCCTTTAGAATTTTAATTTTTATAACTTAAATTAATGTTGTTTGTCATTAGTAGTGCTCCTCGCTGCTCGTCGAGCGGTGTAGAAATTTCCATTAAATTAATAGAATGATTCTCATATTTTTTTTTTTAAAAAAAATGTTGTAAATGATTTTCAAAATGTGACGGACTTGCTCAACTTTCTTTAAAAAATAATCGCTTTAGTGCGAATGGTTAAAAGGTACGTTCGTAAACAATAAATTTAAAATTTCTTTTTATTTTTATTTTACGACTTAGCTACAAATACTACCAGACACATATAATACGCAAGTATTCTTTTCCTTTTGGTTTTTTTCCTATGTCAATATTTTGGATTTTTAATTCGAACCGTATACAAGAGAAAATATAAATATTATAAAACCCCACCACTTCAACCTAACTCGTTTCCGAACATTTATTTATTTTTTTAAACTTTTCAATTATTTTTATAAAACCCCCCATTTCTTTAATCACTTTTCATTCACCAAATTTCGACCTGAAAAGAAAGTTGCAGAATGAGAAGCAAAGGGCATAACCATAACAAGTTCATGCGGTTCATTACCGTTCCTTTGAAAGCGTTTGGAAAAGCCAGGGATCTATACGTTAGAAGTTTGACAAGCTGTGCTTCAAGTGTCAGCTATGGGCATGTCTCGGGTGGCTGTTCCGGGCAATACCCGAGGAGCTTTAGTATGAGCTCGGCAGCCTCCATCGACAACGATGATCTTAAAGAGCTTATTAGGGCTGCGTCAGTTAGGAGCATGGGTCATAGGAACGAAGTGGAGATGCTTTTTCAACAACAACAATCGAGGGTGCAGATGGGGTTGCCAAAGAGCTCCAGTGTTGCGATGGGAAGAATTGATGAGGAAAACCCTTGTGAATTTAAAGAAAACGAAGCTGTTGTGGATGAGAAGCGAGATTTGTTGTATACGAGAAGCAAAAGCTATGGTGTCACGGAAGCAAGTACTTTCGATTCCTATTGATTATGTAATTGCATTTGAGGGGGAGTAAAGAGAACCCTTCCTGTTCTCTCTTTGTTATTCTTCTAGTTCTGAGCTGTGTTTCCAGAATATGATAGATTTGGGATAACACCAGTATAATTTGACCTCATCTGTAGAAAGTCTAAAGTGGCAATGATGGCCTAAAAGATAATAAATCAAAGGCAAGGAATTGAAGGAAATGATATCTATTACATGTGTACATGCAGGGCATTTTAGAATGAAAAGAAATTGTGTTTTACTTGTCATCACTTTGTTGAAAACAAAATCCTTAATTGTAGTGGAGTTATATTATATATATATATGTTAATGCTTATATATTTGATAGTTGTCTATCATCATCTTCTGTAGCATCAGGAAAGGATATATACATATTTGATCTGTGGTTTGGTAGTAGGAAATAGGAATTGTCACACCAAGAAACACCCAATCTCACAACATCCACTCTGCAATCAATACACAACTAAGAACTGAAAAAAAAAGACTATAACAAGGCTAAAATTAACCCAGTAACTGGAAACTCTCTTTTCCAAAGCGTCGTTTTATTTATACACAGCCATTTTTGGAAGCAAAACACAACTCAGAGACAACTTGCCAGGAACTGGACTCGACGACCTTCAAGAGAAGACTTATATGATTAAGAGCAACGTTCTAAGTAATATATCAACAACACAGTAAAATTTCAAGTTATTCAATTATCTTTGATGATATGATTATTAAAACATAATATTATTTAATACCTTATGATTCATTTAGCCGACATGTTTGATTTGCTTGTTTAACCGATACAATATCAATTATACTTAAAACAAGTATTTTAATATTTTTTTAATTAAATCAATATAGGGGATAACATTTATGAACCACCGAACCGGTAATGAGCCGAATGAAAAGTCTAGAAGCTTTAAAGCAAAACAGTAATCGCCATTACCTACAGAAACTCAAACTGACCAAGCAGGCGACACAGATACAGGGCCGAACATCGAACACTTCCCAACAGTGGCATCACCGTCCCACCACATCATTAATTTCAACAACCTTCACTTATTCAGTGTTTTGTCTGATCATCCATCGTTCCCCAAATTTCACGAGCAACTCATAAGTCATTTACTTCACTCTCTCGCTAAGAAGGGTACCCAATTCGATGGAAATGGAGAAAGGGAAAGGAACCAACGTGTCAGATATTCAGGGTGAAGATGACCTCGACGAGGAACCCGGGGAAGAAATTGAATCAGCTCCGCCTCTCAAGGTGGGCGAGGAGAGAGAATTGGGTAATACTGGTATCAAGAAAAAGCTCCTCAAAAATGGTATCCATTGGGAAACGCCTGAGTTTGGCGACGAAGTCACTGGTAATTTCATTATGTTTATTTATTGACTTCATTCCCCCCCTCCAAAAAAGTTTTTTTTGGAATTATTGATTTTTTTAGTAAAGGCTGATGGAGACTATGCAGTTCATTTTGTGGGTACTTTGCTTGACGGGACAAAGTTTTCTTCCACAAGGGATAATGGTGAACCAGTGACTTTTAAACTTGGTGAAGGTGAGTGTTGGGTGGTTTAATCTTGATGGAGCTGCTTGATTAACTGTTTTATTTACCTCAATTTATGTTTTAATGGGTTTGATAGGTCAAGTGGCCAGTGGTTTGGATCATGGAATTACAACTATGAAGAAGGGGGAACGTGTATTGTTCACGTTGCCTCCGGGTCTTGGTTATGGATCTGAAGGTCGTGATGGCGTCCCACCTGATTCTATTATTCAATTTGATGTAGAACTTCTTTCTTGGATAACAGTGGTGGATATATGCAAAGATGGTGGTATTACTAAGAAGATTATGGAGAAGGGAGAGAGGAATGAACGGCCTAGTGATTTGGATGAAGTTCTGGGTATATTGAACTCTTAAATAGTGCACTTTTTCTGTTACTTGCTTTGGCTTTAAAGTGGTCAATTGGAGGTTTACAGTGTTAGCTTTTTATATTTCCTTCCTTTTCTTTATGCAGTCAAGTATCAAGTCGCGCTTGTTGATGGGACTATTGTTGCAAAAACTCCCGAAGAAGGAAATGAGTTCTATGTGAAGGACGGTAATTTTAGTTGAATCCCGGACTTTTATGGCAGTTGGAAGAGATATTGTACTTCTTATAAATGGAAGTTTTCAACATGCTTTCTGCTCTTGCAGGTCATCTTTGTTCTGCATTGACAAAAGCAATCGTAACAATGAAAAGGGGAGAGAAGGTTAAACTAATCGTTCAACCTAAGTGTATGCCGTCATCTGATAATTGGTCTACTTCAATTCTAGTCTTGATCGACTTTTATTCCTTGAGACAAATACTTCCAAGTTTTATAATGTATTGAGCACAATGCAGATGCTTTTGGAGAGAAGGGGAAGGATGCCACTGATGGGTTCCCAAGTATCACACCAAATTCAGTTTTGAACATTGAATTGGAATTGGTGTCTTTCAAGCCTGTTATTGATGTTACTGGTGATTGTAAGGTATTCAAAAAGATTTTGAGGGAGGGAGAGGGTGCTCTTGTTGCAAATGAAGGTGCTGCAGTGACTAGTAAGTACAGTGACCCATTACAATATCTTATCAGTGTTCATCCAAATCAAACTAGATTCATATGTAGTGATATTGTTCCCATTTCCACCTAGACTTGGTAAGGGATCAACACTGAATTGTATCTTAAAGGTATATGATATGTGATGATAAATTGAATTATCTGAAAGGTTTATGGTGGGTAAGCTTTAAGTGTATGTCTTTGCTTGCTCTTTCAGCAAGAAATGAAATTGGACACAATTTTTTTTTATAAACTTGTTTAGGAAATGTTGGGATAATTGATTGTTTCATTGAGGCGACTCGATCATTATATTATATCACAAGGCCATGGCCTTGCATAATTTCTATGCTCTAAATATTTCTTGACTGGTGCTCCTTTATGTACTTTCTTCTTGAATTACAGTTAGCTATACCGCTAGGTTAGAAGATGGTACTGTATTTGAGAAAAAGGGAATTGATGGAGAGCAGCCGTTGGAATTTATAACAGATGAAGGTTAGTGGAAACTAATTAAATTTTTTCTAGATTGTCAATAATAAACTTTGGACCATATCTAACTATTTATCAATTTAAAAAATAGAACAAGTGATTCCGGGTTTGGACCGAGCAGCAGCAACAATGAAGAAGGGGGAAAAAGCATTGTTGACAATTAGTCCAGAGTATGGTTTTGGTAGTGTTGTTGCAGAGCGGGAACTTGCTGTAGTCTCACCTTCTTCAAACCTAATCTATGAAGTTGAAATGTTGGATTTTGTTAAGGTGAATAATGTAGCCCTGTAGATTTGTTAAACAAGATAGCTCCTTTTGTTCCTTAGGGTGTGTTTGGTTTGGGGAATGTGAGATTCCCATGGGGATGGAATCCACATTTCCCGTTTGGTTGGCCGGGAATGTCATTCCCGGTAATCTTACATTACCAATAGTGGATTTTTTTGGGGTATATTACCGGGAATGTCATTACCTCCTTTTCCTTAAGTATTGTTGGATTACCGACGTTTTGGATTATAATGCCCTTAAAATTATTTTTTTCTTTCAAAAATATCCTTATTCTGTCATTGAATAATAAAAATTTTACGAATGTTAAATTACAAATTTATCCTTAAACTATTTTAGATTTATAAAAAAAAGTCTATAATTACAATTTTATATGAAGTTCAGGGGTTAAAATAAAAGTTTACCCTTTCATTAAACCTTTTTATATTTTCAATTTTATAAAAAAATAAATATATAAATTTTATGAATTTAAATATCTTAAAGAAAATATATAAATATTTTTCAACTTGTTAAAAAAATATATATATAATAAGGACAATTTGGTCAAATATACATTTCAATAATCTTTTATTCCTTTAACAAAATACGGTAATCTTATATTCCTGCTAAACCAACCAAACACAAAATACAACATTCTCAGTAATCCTATTTCCTAGTAATCTTTTATTCCCACTGGTAATCTTATATTCCGTGAACCAAGCCGCCCTTAGTACTTTGTAGCAAATATCTCTATAGTCACTTATATCTAGTTTTGGAATGTGGCGTCCAAATTCTCCGTAAATCTTTATCTACTGTCCTTGTATATTGGGTTTCTTATCTCATCCCCAGCCCACTGTGTCGTTCTGGTGCTGAGGTTAGAAATGTTTATTTACTGAGTTTTGCATCTGCATAATGAATTTAATAGGAAAAAGCCCCATGGGAACTTAATAGCAAAGAGAAAATTGAGTCTGCTGGGAAAAAGAAAGAAGAAGGGAATGTACTATTCAAAAATGGGAACTACCAACGAGCGGGAAAAAAGTATGATAAGGTAATCTCAAGCATTGTTTTTGTCTGATTGAAATACAAAGTCTTCATGGTTCAAATAATTATTTCCTGCTATCTATCCCGTATGCTTTTAGGCTGTGGACTATGTCAGTGAAGATGGACTCTTTCGGGATGATGAGCAAAAGTTAATGAAAGAATTGAGGATTTCTTGCTGGTTGAATGGTGCAGCATGTAGCCTCAAACTAAGTGATTTCCAGGGGGCAATCCAGTTATGTTCCAAGGTGAGTCGCCTGGCTCCCAACACCAAACTGATAGAATTGAAATGGTTGATCATTCCCCTAGTTAAAATGGTAATAAATGTCTTGGAAACTGGTATCCAGAGCATGAACGAGTAATTTACAGAAATCAACCTCCTTTACGGACAACCTCTTTTGCCATTAAAATCGGGAATCTACTTCTGCATCTCTTATATTATATATTTACTTTGGGCTTTTTATTGTTCGACATATGTGATAGTGAAAGAGCCTCTCCACGAGGGTGTATCTCATATTATCGCTGGCTTTCTGAATGCGTATACACATTTAGAGTCCCACGTAAAGATTTGCACCTGGTCGATTAGCTGGAAAAGAAGTCTTATTTTATTCTGAAGTATGATCTACCTATAGGTCCTAGATTTCGAGTCCCACAATGTGAAAGCTCTATATAGGCGGGCACAAGCCTACATGGAAACTTCAGATTTACTTTCAGCTGAATTTGACATCAAGAAAGCTCTTGAGGCCGACCCCCAAAACAGGTAAATATAGAACTTATGCAATCCAAATTCCGATAGGCAAGTTTCATTGTAATTGGCAAGTTGCCATAATCATGACTGTTACATGTGCCAGGGAGGTGAAACTACTTCAGAAGACACTGAGACAACTC